TCGTCGCGATCCTGTTTGCGTTTGACATCGCGAAAAATGGCAATTTCGTGACAAATCGAGGTGTGGTGGGGGAATTATTGAATTTTGGAATTCGATGCACTTGGACTGTACCATGTGGAATTTGGAAATGGGAAATTGTTTTCCTGTTTTTTCCTGTTTTCTTTCCTTTTCCAGTTTCCTTACTCGTCGCGATCCTGTTTGCGTTTGACATCGCGAAAAATGGCAATTTCGTGACAAATCGAGGTGTGGTGGGGGAATTATTGAATTTTGGAATTCGATGCACTTGGACTGTACCATGTGGAATTTGGAAATGGGAAATTGTTTTCCTGTTTTTTCCTGTTTTCTTTCCTTTTCCAGTTTCCTTACTCGTCGCGATCCTGTTTGCGTTTGACATCGCGAAAAATGGCAATTTCGTGACAAATCGAGGTGTGGAGGGGGAATTATTGAGTTTTGGAATTCGATGCACTTGGACTGTACCATGTGGAATTTGGAAATGGGAAATTGTTTTTCTGTTTTTTCCTGTTTTCTTTCCTTTTCCTGTTTTCCTTACTCGTCGCGATCCTGTTTGCGTTTGACATCGCGAAAAATGGCAATTTCGTGAGAAATCGAGGTGTGGAGGGGGAATTATTGAGTTTTGGAATTCGATGCACAGTTTTGGGTACTTACCCTGTTTCACGTGGAATTTAGAAAAGAGGAAATGTCCGGTTTAAGCGGATGGCACTTGAAAATGGCACTCAGAAATGGTAACTGCGAATGGCAACGTGTAGGATAGAAAATTCGATCTCTAAAAGAAAAAGGAACTGTCCAAATGTATCTGGAATCCCGCGAACAAGAGTGACTAATCCGAGCACGATCCATGAATCAAGTTCCCGTATCTTTTATTCACAGGGGACAAGGGGCGCGACCCTCGGAAATTCGCGACCTGTCGTCGACTTTCTAAGGCTTGAACCTTGGCAAACTGTCCCTTCGAGGTTGCGTTTCGGGGTGTTATCGGTGCTCGAGTTAGCATGTCGTTTGTATGCGTACAGACGCCGGAGAAAACGAGATTACGCCTGTTCGCGGCATCATGGAAACGCTCCTTCGGGGAATAGTACGGGGATATAGAGTTTCCCTGGGATCGTCGCGCCCCCGCCTAACCACGCCCTTGAATTTAAATACTCGAGACGCCGGGGTAGGCAACGGTATTGTTCGAGTTAAATTGAAGATAAATTGAAATTAAACGAGGAGGGAAGTATCGGCGAAAGCCACGTTTTCACTCCGTTTGTTCCCAACTGGCAGTATAAACACGATTGGCGTTCATAAATTTGCCGTGAATATTTCAATGGTATCCAAATTCCATGGAAACCCGCCTTAAGGCTCGCGAATTCTCGATCGTCGACGTATTTATTCAACGAACGTCAAACAAATATGTCATCTCGATGCGTAAAATCAGCCAGAATATTTAAACGGGGTTGGATTCGAATTCCATAGAAACCCGCCTTAAGGTTCACGAATTCTCAATTCATCGTCGTATTTATTTAACGAACATCAACCAAATATATCATCTCGATGCGTAAAATCGCACAGAATGTTTCAGCGGATATTTCAGATTCGAATTCCATAGAAAGCCGCCTTAAGGCTCGCGAATTCTCAATCGTCGTCGTTCTACTCGGCGAACAACGAACAAAATGTGTCATCTCGGTGCGTAAAATCGCCCAGAATATTTCAAAACGAAGCCGGATTCGAATTCCATAAAAACCCGCCTTAAGGCTCACAAATTCTCAATCTTCGGCGTATTTATTTATCGAACATCAACCAAATATATCATCTCGATGCGTAAAATCGCACAGAATGTTTCAGCGGATATTTCAGATTCGAATTCCATAGAAAGCCGCCTTAAGGCTCGCGAATTCTCAACCGTCGTCGTTCTACTCGGCGAACAACGAACAAAATGTGTCATCTCGATGCGTAAAATCGCCCAGAATATTTCAGCGGATATTTCAGATTCGAATTCCATAGAAACCCGCCTTAAGGCTCGCGAATTCTCAATCGTCGTCTCGTATTTATTCAACGAACATCAACCAAATATGTCATCTCGATGCGTGAAATCGCCCAGAATATTTCAGCGGATATTTCAGATTCGAGTTCCATAGAAACCCGCCTTAAGCCTCGCGAATTCTCGTTCGTATTTGTAAAACGTCGATAAGCATCGTGCAGATATACGGTCTGAGCGCATTCTACCCGGAATATTTCGATGGAAACGCGTTCGAATTTCACATAGAAATGTGCCTTAAGACTCGCGACTACTCCCGAGAGCTTGGAACGACGCGAACGAACGTCGAACAGGTGCACAATTGCGTCCGTTTCAATGGAAACGATGATTAATCTCGCGAGGTATCCGTTCAAGGACCCGCTCGATCCCGGGATCGAGCGATTTCCAGCGGCACGCCTCCATTGGGCCGGAAACGGTCGTTATCCAAACACCGGCGAGCCGAGGTCGCTCTTGAAAATTAGGCTTGCGGCTGTCCCGTGGCCTCGCGTGTTCCACTCGCTCTACCCACGTGCCCCGAAAACTCGCCGCGTTTCTGCGCTTTCATAGCGCAGACCTCAACGAAATATTAATCGAAATCGAAAATTCCGTTTCGCGGACGTCTTGCTCGCTTCATGGAAACGTGGCTTTAAGCTGCTTGTACGTTACTGCGGAAGTAGAGACGATGAAATTTCGGGACGGAATTTTTGGTGGATTTCGATTATGCGAAATTGGTAATTTTTTTGTTATTATTGGATGTAAGAAGAATGTTTTTAATTAGCATGAAATTAAATATTTTTTTAGACACAGTGAAGCTGTATCAAAGTCGCGTGTAATATCGAAAAATTCGACATCTCGCGTGTCTCGTTTATTATTACAGTTAAATTCCAGTTATGGCATCTACGGAATTTTATTGCATATTATTTTGTATAATTAATTTGATGTTCATATCCCAAGGTCATTCTCGTGCACAGTTGATCCATCGAGTTGCATCTCGAGTAACATATGTGGGTGAATTTTCTCGAATTTAAATTAACCTCGTCGAGTAGGATTTCATTTAAATAACACTCGATATAATTAATTCGATATTTATAACCCAAGGTCATTCTTGCAGCCAGTAGTATAAACATGGTACTCGTAACACTTTGCAATTTTCTCAAATTCTCAACCCTCTCCAGTGCACAGAATATTTCGAAAAGTAAAAAATTCGAAATTTAATTTCTCCCTTTGGACGAACGATTAAATTAGGAGAATCGAGAAGATCTAGACCTCGAGACAGAGGACACCCTCGAGACATCATCTTCAGAGAACGCCATTTCGTCGAATTTATTCTTTAAATCGATTTATTTTACATTATTTTTATTTAACGATTCGATTACACCCCTGCTACTGTATCGTATCGTATCGATTTATGTTATATTATTTTTATTTACCAATTCGATTTCACCCTTGCTACTGTATCTTATCGAATTATTTCATATTATTATCATTTATCAATTCGATTTCACCCCTGCCACTGTATAGCATCGATTTATTTTATATTATTTTTATTTATCAATTACATTTCACGCCGGCTTGTGTATCACAAAGATTTATTTCATATTATTTTTATTTAGCAATTCGATTTAATCCCTGCCACTGTATCTCATCGAATTATTTCATATTATTATCATTTATCAATTCGATTTTATCCCTGTTATTGTATCATATCGATTTATGTTATATTATTTTTATTTATCAATTCGATTTTATCCCTGCCACTGTATAGCATCGATTTATTTTATATTATTTTTATTTATCAATTCGATTTTATCCCTGTTATTGCATCGCATTGATTTATGATATATTATTTTCATTTATCAATTCGATTTTACCCCTGCTAGTATATCGTATCGATTTATATTATATTATTTTTATTTATCAATTTGATTTTACCCCTGTCATTATATCGCATCGATTTATACTATATTATTTATATATATCAATTCTGTTTCATTCTTGCCACTGTATAGCATCGATTTACTTTATATTATTTTTATTTATCATTTCGATTTAACCCCTGCCACTGTTTTACATCGATTTACGTTATATTATTTTTATTTATCAATTCGATTTTATCCCTGTTATTGTATCGCATTAATTTATGCTATATTATTTTTATTTATCAATTCGATTTTACCCCTGCTTGTGTATCTCAAAGATTTATTTCCTATTATTTTTATTTATCAATTCGATTTTATCCCTGTTATTGTATCGCATTAATTTATGCTATATTATTTTTATTTGTCAATTCGATTTCACCCCTGCTTGTGTATCTCAAAGATTTATTTCCTATTATTTTTATTTATCAATTTGATTTAATCCCTGCCACTGTATCTTATCGAATTATTTCATATTATTTTCATTTACCAATTCGATTTCACCCCTGCCACTGTATAGCGTCGACTTATGTTATATTATTTTTATTTATCAATTCAATTTCACTCCTGCCACTGTATAGCATCGATTTATGTTATATATTTTTATTTATCAAATCGATTTAACGCCTGCCACTGTATTACATCGATTTACGTTATATTATTTTTATTTATCAATTCGATTTTATCCCTCTTATTGTATCGCATTAATTTATGCTATATTATTTTTATTTATCAATTCGATTTTATCCCTCTTATTGTATCGCATTAATTTATGCTATATTATTTTTATTTATCAATTTGATTTAATCCCTGCCACTGTATCTCATCGAATTATTTCATATTATTTTCATTTACCAATTCGATTTCACCCCTGCCACTGTATAGCATCGATTTATGTTATATATTTTTATTTATCAAATCGATTTCACCCCTGCCATAGTATTACGTCGATTTATGTTATATTATTTTTATTTATCAAATCGATTTCACCCCTGCCACGGTATATCGTCCATTTATTTTGTATTATTTTCCTTGCTCGTCTCATGTTTTTTTTATCATCTCATTTTTTACAGCATGGCCGCTCAGACTCGTACAGGGTCGCAACGTTACCGAAAATTCGCGACGACAACAAAACGGCCGACGGGATGTACAAGGTATTCACGAGCGGGACTTCCGGTCCGCGGTTGGCTCTCCATTCTGTTACGCTGGCAAATATCTTTTCACTTGGGGCTTGCTTCATCGGCAGACCTCTATTCTGCCCTCGTCTCTACCTGCAATCCCTCTTTCCGCGAGTTTCCGCGGAATCTGCTTTCCTCTTCTTCTTCTCCGCGTTCAACTAACCATTTCCCCGGTCATTTTGGTCTAACAATCGCGTGAGACTGTCGACTCTGGTAATATTCTTCCATAGAATTCTCCTCGAAGTACTCTCTCTTTCTCTCTCTCTCTATTTTTCTTCCCGCGTCTGTCTCTGTCTCTTCTCTCTAACTAGCCACTTTTCATCAGTTTCTCTCAACTGCTTTTCAGCGAAAAGGGAGTCTCGTTCCCTGTCGATCTGCTCTAGGTACTAACACGCTCTTGCTCGCACTATTTTATTCCAACTCGCTATTACACAGCTACTAACACAGACACCAGGTATTATGGGAATCGTAGAATGATTCCTGAGCAGTTTATTCTCAGGATGTCAGCTGTCGCTTGATTTCTCAGGCTTCGCGAGATTATTTAGGCTGACAGGCTGGAAGCTGTCAAGATGAACGTTTAATGGATCTCGTGATGATTTCGCGAGGTCTTGGACACGGCTGATTTGGTGTTAACGATTCTGCGATTAATTAACACTTTATTGGGGTCTCGCGTGCCTATGTTGTAGGCACTACTGCGTATGCAGTGGTGTTGGGATGAAGGGTTGAGTATGTAATTGTAGCCTAATTCCTTGATCCTGGATCCTGGTATTTGTACTGAGGATTGAGAATCCTCTTTTTCCTTTTCTTTTTTTTTTAATGGGGATTATAAGGACGTTGAAATTTGCATTAGTGATTAGAGTATTGGGAAAATTGGGGTTGAGACATTTATTTAAATATTTAGTTTAGGGGATTGTTGTTGGAGACTTTACTCGAGAAGCTAGTTTTGCAAAATTCTTATTGGAGGCTTTAAATGGGAATTTAATTTGCAAAATTTTTATTCCAGATTTTAATTGGGAATTTAATTTGCAATATTTTTATTGGAAAATTTACTCCAGAATTTAATTTGCAGAAGTTTTATTGCAGACTGTATTTGAGAGATGTATTTGCAAAATTCTTATTAGAGATTTAAGTTGTGTATTTATCGTGCAAAATTCTTATTGGAGACAATATTTGAGAATCTATTTTGCAAAATTCTTATCAGAGGCTTTAATTGGGAATTTAGTTCGCAAAATTTTAATTGAAAGTTTTAATAGGGAATTCAATTTGCAATATTTTTTTGGAAACTTTAGTCAAGAATTTAGTTTCCAAAATTTGTATTGGAGACTTTACTTGTATATCTATCGTGCAAAATTCTTATTGGAGACAATATTTGAGAATCTATTTTGCAAAATTCTTGAGAATTCACTTTGCAAAATTTTCATTAGATACTTTATTTCGTAATCTATTTTGTAAAATTCTTAGCGGAGACTTTACTTAAAAATTTAATTTCTAAAATTTTTATTGCAAACTTTACTTGGGTATTTATTTTTCAAAATTGTAATTGTAGACTTTACTCGATAATTTATTTTGGAGACAATATTTCCACGTTCACCTTACTTGAAAACTTACCCCGAACACGTCACTTGAAAATTTATTTTGGAAACTTCCTTTGGAAGTTCGCTTCGGGAAGTCCGATTAAAAATTCAGCTTAAATACTTCTCTCGGGAGTTCACCTCGAATTTCATATATTATTCTAAGACTCGCTTTAGCAATTTCGGTAACGTTTGATGAGTTCAGGAATTATATATAACGTTAATTGATGATTCAACGTCTTCCAAGATCCTTCCACTTCCTGTTTCTATTCCAACGAGAACGATACCTCACACCTCTCTTAATCTACACGATACCTCTCTTAAAATTAATATCCCTAAAACACTGTTACATCAGGTGTTACTAAAAATAAGCGTTTCTACTCTCAAGCTTGAAAATTGTGTGTGTCTAAAGCTGCTAACTTACGTAGTATAAGCTTACGTAGTACTTACAACTTACCATTCTTTCCCTTAAAAATCCCCAAAATCCATGGGATGTTCTATTAACCAGTTAACTGCGGAATTTAATTTCAAAAATCCCTTTCAGGATGCGTAATTAACCCTTTGCACTCGACGATTCTTTCGTTACAGGAAGAAAGTAATTCTTAGACTTTCTGCCATAAAGTCGACGATAATTTTCAAACGATATATAAGAAATCGTATAGAAATTAATTACGTAGAATTATTTTACTTTGATATTCCACGCATAGTTAGGTAATCGTAAATTTGATATATTAATTAATATCCACCGTTGAAATTTGCTTAAATGGCGACTGAGGGGTGCCTCCCGAGTGCAAAGGGTTAAAATCGAGCAATCATGAGTATACACGTGAAACGCAGTTGGCTGGTGAATCACTGTTATCGTGATTTTTGGCTAACGTGTATTTTTCATTTTTCCAAAAACCAGTCGCGGCGGAAGAATCCAAAGCGGAGGGGGGACAATCTAGAGGACCTGAAGCAAGAGTTGGACATTGACTTCCACAAAATTACACCCGAGGAACTGTATCAGAGATTTCAGACGCACCCCGAAAACGTGAGTATCTGGTATCTCGAAAAGCTGTCAAAGGTACTTTTGAAAAATTAGAGAAAAATAGATAAAAATGAAAAGGAAAGGAGGAAAAGAGGTAAAACGATTCAGGTACGAGGAATTGGTTCGATTCGCGTTCCAGTTTAGAATAATTACTCGGCGCTGACGCGAGCTGAGTCTCTCTCTCTCTCTCTCTCTCTCTCTGTCTCTCCTCTCTGCGACCGAGTCGCACACCTCGATCGATCGGGTTATTTAAAGCTCTCGAGTATCATCGCTGACACGAAATTCCTGATATCCCTTATTTAGCGAGGCCGATAATTGTGGAACGCGTTGCAATCGTTAATCCGCGATGGCCGACGTGAATGGGTTGATGGAAGGAAGAATAGAGGCTCTGAGAAAGCTCAGGTGTGAATAGAATTTCCCGAAATGATTGCTATCCTGGGTATAATTATCGGAATTCTATGCTCCTCCGCGAAGAAAGATATCTTTGGTTCAAGTATCGTTTCTGTAGCCTCTTGGCACTGTCCCGGGCCTCTACGGGGACTCTGGGATCAGAGATTCGCGATATCGATGGGGACATGTTAATTAAACGGAAGGAGACTATGACGAGACGTGTCTAAAATTTTTTCAAAATTTTTGGAGTTGAGGTTAGCCAGGAACAGTGTCTTTGATTAAAAGCCCCTTCGCTAACTGTCAGTATGGACTTGGAGGAGAATTAATTAGGTGAAAGGAGACTATGATGAGATATATCAACAATTTTTAGAAATTTTTGGAGTTCAGGTTAGTCAGGAACAGTGTCTTTGATTAAAAGCCTCTTTGCTGACTGTCAGTATGGACTTTGATGACGAATTAAACGGAAGGAGACTATGATGAGACATGTCTAAAATGGTTTAGAAATCTTTAGAGTTGAGTTTAGCCAGGAACAGTGTCTTTGATTAAAAGCCTCTTCGCTGACTGTCAGTATTAATTAGGTGAAAGTAGACTTTGACAAGACATGTCTAAAATTTTTGGAGTTGAGGTTAGCGAGGAACAGTGTCTTTGATTGGAATCATCTTCGTTGACTCTGAATATCGACTTTGAAACGAATTCATAGCGCGATATCAAGGAAAATAAGTAGATTAAAAATTCTAAGGATCATTGACATTGCTCTGACCAAGTCCTGATGCTAATTGGTCAAAGCAATGCCAATAAACCTTAGAAGTCCTGATGCTAATTCGAATATCTATAGTAATCTGTCAATGAACATTTTCGTGGGTGAAGGAGCAATCGTGAAATACTTACATCCCTGACTTGATACCTAGAATCAAACTATGACATGTCTATCTAGGTAGCAAAACCATTCTTGCAATATTTGACGATTAAACCGGGACTAGGACCAAGTCTATAACACGTGTAGACACGTAGACGTACTATACATATTGTCAAAGCTTCCTCGTGCTAACCAAAATACTCACAACAACTGGACAAGTGCAGTCTCGTGTCAATTCCACTGTCAATTATTAATAACGAACGAAAGAGGAGAAGAGAAGGGAGACAAACTCTTTCGCACAACTGAGAACAATCCGAGTATCAAAATCTATTATATGACAGCACTTAGACGCGACGCAGAATGAAACGGGATGAACCTAAGACCTAGCCTAACCTTCTAACGCTCAATGTGTCTGTTACAGGGCCTCAGCCATGCGAAGGCAAAAGAGAATCTGGAGAGGGACGGTCCAAACGCGCTGACGCCGCCAAAACAGACACCAGAATGGGTGAAATTCTGTAAAAATCTGTTCGGCGGCTTCGCGTTGCTACTGTGGATCGGCGCAATCCTCTGCTTCATCGCGTACTCGATCCAGGCGTCGACCAGCGAGGATCCTAACGACGACAATCTGTACCTGGGCATCGTGTTGGCAGCGGTAGTGATAGTGACAGGCATATTCTCGTATTACCAGGAAAGCAAGTCTAGCAAAATCATGGAATCGTTCAAGAACATGGTACCTCAGATCGCGATCGTGATCAGGGAAGGCGAGAAGCTTACGTTGAAGGCGGAACAATTGGTGCTTGGCGACGTGGTCGAGGTGAAATTCGGCGATCGTATACCGGCCGACATCAGGATCATCGAGTCACGGGGATTCAAAGTTGACAACAGCTCGCTGACAGGAGAATCCGAGCCACAGTCGAGGTCTCCGGAGTTTACGAACGAGAATCCGTTAGAAACGAAAAATCTTGCCTTTTTCTCGACGAACGCCGTTGAGGGTACAGCGAAGGGTGTGGTGATTTGCTGCGGCGATCAGACTGTCATGGGAAGGATCGCTGGTTTGGCATCTGGTCTTGACACCGGTGAGACCCCGATCGCTAAGGAGATTCACCACTTCATCCATCTGATCACAGGCGTGGCCGTGTTTCTCGGTGTGACCTTCTTCGTTATCGCTTTCATCCTTGGCTACCATTGGCTGGACGCTGTCATCTTCCTCATCGGTATCATCGTGGCTAACGTGCCGGAAGGTTTACTGGCGACCGTAACCGTGTGCCTGACGTTGACAGCCAAGCGAATGGCATCGAAGAATTGTCTGGTTAAGAATCTCGAGGCTGTCGAGACATTGGGCTCCACGTCGACCATCTGCTCGGACAAGACCGGTACGCTGACTCAGAATCGTATGACCGTTGCTCACATGTGGTTCGACAATCAGATCATCGAGGCTGACACGACGGAGGATCAGTCCGGACTGCAATACGACCGAACGAGCCCTGGATTCAAGGCATTAGCCAAAATCGCTACCCTCTGCAACCGAGCCGAGTTCAAAGCTGGCCAGGAAGACAAACCGATTCTGAAGAAGGAAGTGAACGGTGACGCGTCAGAGGCTGCCCTGTTGAAATGCATGGAACTGGCTCTTGGGGACGTAATGGGCATCAGGAAACGTAACAAGAAAGTCTGCGAGATTCCGTTCAACTCGACCAACAAGTATCAGGTATCTATCCACGAATCGGACAACCCGGATGACCCCAGACACCTGCTGGTGATGAAGGGCGCCCCGGAAAGGATCCTGGATCGTTGCTCCACTATCTTCATCGGTGGAAAGGAAAAGATGCTGGACGAGGAGATGAAGGAGGCTTTCAACAATGCTTACCTCGAGCTCGGTGGCCTGGGTGAACGTGTGCTCGGTTTCTGCGACTACATACTGCCGTCCGACAAATTCCCGATCGGCTTCAAGTTCAACTGCGACGACCCTAACTTCCCTGTAGATGGACTCCGCTTTGTGGGCCTGATGTCTATGATCGACCCGCCCAGGGCTGCGGTGCCTGACGCAGTCGCCAAGTGCCGTTCCGCCGGCATCAAGGTCATCATGGTAACCGGTGACCATCCGATCACTGCCAAAGCCATTGCCAAATCTGTCGGCATCATCTCTGAAGGTCAGTCTCACTGGCAGTTTCCCTCGAAGTCCTAATTGATCGTAATTGACCTGTCAACTCAGGACCAATTTATACTATAGTCCCTATAGTCTGACGTTGACAGATCAAAAGCTATGAAACGAGTTATGAAACGTTAGGGAAGCAACCTGGACTCTGTGTCTTACTCTATTAATTATGTTCTTAGTCTGTTACTTTCGCTTGCAAATCATGTCATCTGGTTATCATAATAATCTTCATCCGCATCCATCGGGAACAACGTGAATTTCGCTCGCCTGAAATTCCTCAACTTCGCTGCAACTTCGTTAATCCAAAGTGATGGTCGGGCTGCTTAACCTCGCTTTAAATTTAACCAGATTATCGCATTTACATCCGAATATCCTCGTTTTCTGGTCCGCTCGAGCATACCGCGGAGCCAGGTAAAGGAATGCAAATGAAAGCTTCTGCTTCTGTACCCTTCTTATAAAATATTCATAACTCGGTAGCCGATGTTAGGAGACTGGTAAAGAAAATTTAGAACCCACGCTCTCCGCGCGGACTCGGTGATATTAGGTAAAATTTCATGGAAAATCGCGTTTGGGCAAATTGCCCGCCGCTTTCCATCTCGAAGAGGTCTCTTGTATCGAAAGCGTTGTTTCCGAGCAGGTAACGAGACCGTGGAGGACATCGCTCAGCGCTTGAATATCCCGGTATCCGAAGTGAATCCTCGCGAGGCCAAGGCCGCCGTCATCCACGGAACCGAACTCAGGGAACTGAACTCCGACCAACTGGACGAGATCCTCAGGTACCACACCGAAATTGTGTTCGCCCGTACCTCGCCTCAGCAGAAGCTCATCATCGTCGAAGGCTGCCAACGAATGGGTGCTATCGTCGCTGTAACTGGTACGGCACTGTTCTCCTAATTCATTAACGATTTCCCGATAATTTCTCGACGTGTTCCATTGGTGGTACTCGTGGTCTTCCAGTAGTGGTCTGTCTTTTGAAATTCGCCACGAAAATTGTCGCAAACGCGAAATAAAAGGGTAGTAATGTAGCTATGACAGCATCGTGTACACTCTCGCTACGAAATGATTCTAAATTGAAGGAGATTCTCGTCGTGTTCCACTGGTACTCGTAGTCTTCCAATAGTGGTCTGCCTTTTGAAATTCGACGCGAAAATTGTCGCAAACGCGAAATAAAGGGTAGTAATGTAGCTATGACAGCATCGTGCACACTCTCGCTACGAAATGATTCTGAATTCAAGGAGGTTCGAGGATTTTCTCGCAAATCATTGGTAAACCCTCCACTTCCTATAATATAACATCCAAACTTTCTAATAGTATCCCTATCTAAGGCAGAGCCTGTTAGGAAGCCTTACCGATGAGTTCGCTGTCAGACCCAGGACCTGAGACAACGCATCCCTTCCTTTTTCTTTCGTTCCTTCTAGCACCACCGTCACATCGAGTATACCTGTCACAACAGACAAGCAACAACTATGAGATAGGTTCCCCTACATAGCCATTACACTTTCCTGACGACTGATCGCTAACTAGAGATCAACGCACTTCCTGTGAACGCAGTGTTCTCTGAAGAACGCTGGTTTTAATCCTCTCTCAGCTCTCCAGGGAATATCAACTGTGACGATAAGACCGTGACTCGTTTGCCACCAGTGTTGCACTTGACCAAATCCTCTTTGGACTCGGGCTATGCAAAGACCCAACTTACACGTGTCCATAATCTTGAACCAACCTTGCGGCTTCCATTAGACTACGTATACTCGGTCTAGAAATTCGACGCGAGGAATATCCGATGTAACTCGAGCTTAAGGTACACCACTCTAGAATTATACTGATATTTGATTGACCGTTGCAGGTGATGGTGTGAACGACTCGCCCGCATTGAAGAAGGCTGACATCGGTGTAGCCATGGGTCTCGCTGGTTCCGACGTATCGAAACAGGCCGCTGACATGATTCTGCTCGACGACAACTTCGCCTCGATCGTGACCGGCGTCGAAGAGGGTCGACTGATCTTCGACAACCTGAAGAAGTCCATCGCGTACACCCTGACCTCGAACATCCCCGAGATCTCACCTTTCCTGGCGTTCATCCTTTGCGACATCCCTCTGCCTCTTGGTACCGTCACTATTCTCTGCATCGACTTGGGAACGGACATGGTGAGTGACGTTTTACCATTCGCGTTTCGATCATCTCTCTACGGACGTGGTCGGAACGCTGACGAGCTAGCGTACCGAATCCAACGGCTCCTCGGCGAGTTTCGCGAGTTCGTCGAGTCTTTCGAGGTGTCGTTGCGATTCTTCTCGAGTAACCAAATATTTTCAGCATCGTGTCACATTTATGCTTGGTCGTCTGCTGGGTAGACGGCCAGATTCTATGTCTAAAACGATGATTATCAGGTGCCAGCCATATCCCTGGCGTACGAGCATGCCGAGTCGGATATCATGAAGAGAAGGCCTCGTGATCCGTACCACGATAACCTCGTCAACGAAAGGTTTTATTGTCGGGAAATATAGCTTGTCGAAGTTAGACTGTGTCACTGTCCTTAGGCCAGCTAGAGCTCCTGTATCAGCGGTATGCCAGATGAAGCAGTAGGAGTACCTTTCGCCTTTGGAAATCAACCTTAATCGTATTTCTAATCCGGTGTCTTGTTTAGGTGACCAGGGGGAAGCTATCTGACCAGGAATCACCGTGATTTCGTTCGTGTCGTGTCGAACCACGAAGATCTTGATACCCACTGAGACTGCTTGCTATCTATTTAAGCCTGATTCAGCTATGAGAAATTGTTATCGGGATAACTAAGAGTAATCGTCCACGCAGATCTCGTTAGGATCATAGTGTTCGTGGTTCCTCCAGATATAATCGAATTTTTCCAGCCGAGAAACCTGTCACAATCTCGCAAGCAGGGCATGATAGAAGAGACTGGGTGTTTCGGGGATCATCGAACGATGATCGAAAGAACCGATCCCGAAATGCTTCCTCTCGTCCCTCGACACTTCCCGCCTCATCGTTCCAATCGATTTAGTTCTCTCAGTTGATTTTTGCTTACCTTTTCTGCGTTCTCATCATATGATACTCACTGGTCGCAAGAATGCTGATTGTCGCGTTGATCGTTGATCGTTGATCGTTAAATGTTCCTCGCGAACGACGAAGACAGAAGGTTCAGACAACTGTTCCTCCTTCCTCTCTTTGTCTGCTCTTCGCGTGTTCCTTTTCGTTTTATGAACTCGTGAAATGAAAATGGTCAGCATCCTTGTATCGCGGGTCATGAAGAAACGATACTCATCATTGTTCTAACTGTTGGCGTTGTTACTGAGCCTCTTGATAATGTGACGTCAGGTACCAGCCATCTCACTTGCCTACGAGGAGGCAGAGAGCGATATTATGAAGCGACATCCACGAAACCCCTTCACTGACAAGCTAGTTAACGAAAGGTAACACATCAACAACATAACCGAGCCTTGACAAAACTACTACTACTACTGCTACTACTACTACTACAACTACTACTACTACTACTACTACTATTACTACTACTACTACTATTACACCATTGATACTTTTTATGGTCAGAAAGAGTAATCGGTGACATGATCTGTCTGATTCCTGAAGCTTTCGCTGTTCGTCCTAATTGCATTTGCATTTATCCGTTTCTTTTCTCAGATTAGAGTAATTTCCATGATCAGAATAAATTGGCAATTGTAACTGTCGTAACGAGTCTCGTTGTGTAAATGGTTTTTGCTGCACTGTAGAATATCCGTAGAAGTCTCTGCGAGCCTTCAGGAATCAGGTCACACGGTCTCCATTACCTGTCTATTGGTCGTTACACCTCTTACTTGATCTTATGGTTATTGTACAGTAGCTAGTTCGTTCTGTCTCGTATATACTCGTTCTCGAACACTTAAAGAAAAGCCGAAAGGAAAGAAAAAGAGAAAAACAAACGGAATTGCGACACAGAGATTACTCTCACGAACACGTTTCTATATCCTGTATAACGATCATGTGTATACTCGTTGTCCGATCGCACTCACAGGCCTGACGACTGGGCTCGAGGCGACAACGACTCGTGTGCAAATTAATCCCTAGCCTGATCTGTCAAAAAAATTGTTCGATGTTGTATTATCTATCTATTTTCTCTCCGTGTCTACCATTTTTTTTCTTTTTTTTTCTTTTTTTTTCTTTTCCCCGTCTATTTTTCGTACGAGAGTCTGTTGGAATTAACCGACCTATTGCTGTGTCCAGTGTTTGTTGAACGAATCCCTATGCTAAACGAAACGTGAACGACCAACAGTTGCTGTCCCCCGCGCGAGTGAATGCCACTTTTCAACTGGTGCATCGCATTAGACGAAAAAAAATGTAACGAAATCGGGGCCCGACGGGCCCCACCCGTTGTTCGCATTTGAGAAGAAGCATAAATGTCTGAAGGATTGTACAAAACCGCTTTTTCCCTGTGACAACGAAAGCTTTTTCGCTCGAGCTTCGATATTACCGCGAGTTCAAAAGAGGCCCGAAAGAAAGGACCGAGGAAAGGAAAATGGCGGAGCATGCCGGTCACATGGCTCCTGCCCTTCTTTATTCTTTCGCCTGTCTTTCGTTTCCATTCTTTTCCTCCACGACCTGTGTTCCGCTTTGTAAGTTTGTTGGTCGAACGCCAAAGGCTGCGGGGTTTAATTTGTTCGATGGCTTGGTCGGAGGACACTCAAACACGCTAGGAGATGATAAATGACCGATGGTCTAACAAGGTAACAGAATGGTGCACGCAGGTATAACACTTCAAGGCATTTGGTGACTGGGTATTACACACTAGAGCTTTGTTATCTCAACTTTTAATATATTCTATCTATCTATATCTATCTTTCTCTTTCTCTCTATCTATTAACCTCCCTCTTCGAGAGCCCGGTCGATACTCCATCTCACCGCCGGATCGCCATCTTGATCCGGTCAACGTTTGCTCGTCCACGATTACGCGCGAAATTTGAAAATATTCACCGTGTTTACCATGAACGAAACATATTTGAAACGTATTCCTTCATCGCGAAATTTGAAACATATTCACATATTCATAGTGTTTGATGATCCAGGCAATTCTCCAACCTCGTCGAATCTCGGGATATTTATATTTCGAGATATCGTCGAGTTGCGTGATAATTTGGAGAATTCGGGGAAGTTTTTGTAACGCGGAATCGTGGGACGAGGAAGCGAAAGCGACTTCCTTTTTCGAGCATTCTCGTTTTCCCTGAAACGAACACGAAAAGAAAGAAAGATACAATTGCCAGTGAAGCAGTCGCTTCCATAACGATGATCTTCGCTTGTAATTAGTTATTTCGTAAACGCCAAAGGTAAGCCGATCTCTCTTTCACTCAAGTCTTTCTCTTTCTATTTATCTGTCTGTCTATCTATTCACTTCCTCTGCCTCTTTTTCTCTGTCTCTATGATTCTTTACTCCACTTCGAGCTCAGCTTTTACTCCGAGCTTCTCGACCCTAGTTCCCCCTTTCATCGAACTGTGTCGCCACCGTCGACCCTCCGCCATCTTGGCTCACCCATAGACGCAACGTCTGCCTTATTTTTTCTCGTTTTTCCTTTTCATTGCCTGAAAAAAAAATAAAATAAAATAAAAAAGCAGAGAAATTTCGAGATCCGAGTTGTACGATTCCCTTTTTCGGACTCGTTCGGATTTCATAATTCGGATCGACGCGAGTCGTCCATCTTTGACACGCCATTATCATCGCCATTATTAATGGCAAGCTACGATATTTTCTCACATTTCCATATTTTTCGGTATTTTATCACCTCATCCTCTTTCTCGCATCTCTTAATCCGCTCTCTGATCTTTATTCGCTGTTTTATCTCGCGTCTCTCTTCTTCCACTCTCCCTGGCTGTCTCTCTCGCAACGTCGTCGTTGCTCTGCCTCGTTGACTTGTCAACGACCAATCTTCTTGCCTCTCTTCTTTCTTTTTTCCTTCTTTATTTTTCCCTTTCTCTTCATCTTCTCGACTGCTTCGTCCAAAAGATCCGATGTGTAACCCCACTTTCCAGTTGATCGATTAGACGATCCCGAGATTGCAAGGACTCGATGAGTCTCGAGGAAGCTAATCGATGGTCCTTGAACGTTCCACGTATACACGGATGAGTTAGTTCCGAAGAGATCAGCCGTATTCACTTTTCTCTCGATCTCGAATCGAGAAGACACACACCATCGAACACGCGTACACGGGGAACACACGGCAGAAAGATGTGTAGGAGAATCGGTTGGCCGGTCTGGACCGATGCAGAACGGTTTCGTGGTGTCGCGCAGTTGTTCTTGATTCTCGACAAGTTCACGTCCACTTCTGCATCCGGCGATTCTCGACATCTTTTCATCGAGTCCGCGAGCTTAGTCGAGACTTGGTAGTCGGCGAGTCTCGTCGAGTGGAGCGAGCCCGTTTTACGGGAGATCTTAACACGTTCGAGTCGAGGAAGAACTTCGCAAAATGGCGGAGTCGCGCCGAGCTTCTCTGAACTGCCGCTCGCAGCGCTGCTGCGGCGGGATCTTCGCTGGAAGACATCTTTGCTCGCCCCGCTTCGCGTTTTGAGACACGATTTTTATTTAAAGGAAAAAAGGGAGGAGATGTTACGAAATGAAGAAAGAGAGAGGGAAAGGGAGAAAACGAGAGGCGATAAGCTACATGTATTATGAGAAACGTGTTAAGGTACCCGAGTTTGCTCCTCGTCGACGGTGCTCGTCCCTGAAAGCCATAGCTAGTTGAATCTATTTTGTATATAACTGTCTACATAGATCGATATAGTCGTGTTATATATCTATATATCTATATATATATTTACTATTCATCCCCTTGGTAATTGTCATTATTATCGTTGCCTATCAGCATCACTGTCATCATTATCATCGGTATTATTAGCAACTTGTCCCCCTTTCTCTGATCATCATTCGCAATCGATCCCAGATCCGCACAGTTATCCTTCGACCACACATTCCTACCTCACGACTGTTCACACCACACTTCTCTTTACCATTGTTACTACTATTTTTACTACTTATTATATACGCCGTCACGACCACACACACGCCAGCATATTTATTATTACTACTACTACTAGTACTACTATTACTATTAGCGTTTCAAAATAGCCACGGGAATTTTTACTATCGTTACTATCTTTTTATACTTTATACTCTCTACTGTCACACAGCTGTGCCGCTGCTACCTCTACTTTATATCTATCATATCACCTATGTTTCACCTACCGTTTACCTAACGCCTTTACTCGACGCTCGCTCATCATCGAGCCACGTCCAACGCATAAGACGACACCGCGATAACGAAACGTAACGAAACGGAACGGAACGGAACGGAACGGAACGAGATGGTGGCAAGGAACAGACCGTGATGGTGGAAACGTTACGAGAAGTGTGCGGGCGCGAGAGAGAGAGAGAGAGGAAAAATAAGCAAAGGACGATAACGGGAATAAGCGACACGGTGTACGACAGGATACCGCACCTTTGTACATATTTTTAGGCGTCATGACTTCTTCTTTGCAGTTTTTTATTCTTTACAGTCCTCTCACAATTTTATTCTGTAATGCGCTGGCTACCGCCGCTGCCTTCTACCACTTCTGCGACTGGCAACTTTCTAACGACCGCTGAACGACCGAGCGAGACACGTCTTTTATTATCAACCATCAAGTTACCCACTTTCCGCCGACCGACTTCTAAACGCGGCCATTTCACCGGGCCCGATACGCATCATGTATGATGATAACAGGGGAAGAACATGGTTGCGCTCCCTCATGCGTCAGAGAGCCTGTCCGATTTTCTCCAGATCGATCAGACATCGATTCGCGATTTTGCCTCGTCCGTTTCTTGTCAATTTTGCTTTTACCCCCTCAATGTCGAGCAAACGAGTGTCGAGTTTTTGCCCCCCGCCCCCCCTTTTTTCTCCTAACTACGTCTCTCTGTGCATCGGGGTGAGGTCACATGCTTGGAGATACTAACAAAAATGAAGCTTGAATTTTGCGGTACTAAGGTGCACGAAAGAGTATGGAACTCGAGCAACCGGACAATCGTGATCGAATCACACTTCACGCGGGTTTTCTTCTTTTCTTCTCGCTCTGTATCTGATATCGCGCGGATCTTCCCTTCGTTCGAGGCCGGTTCTTCGATCCACGCTGAACCAACCAGGAAGCCAGAGACTCGTGTCGCGGAAATGAACTATACGTCCGGGAACGCGTTGTTTGGTTGACAGGAGATAGATAGAGTTTACGCGATGTTCATTGCGCAAAAACTGGTACCGAACTGGTCTTCGGCGGAAGAACAGCCGGCGCCATCTACCGCAGCGGAGAAGTGCGGAATTTCTCGTGAATTCCCGCCGACTCTGTTCTGCGGCGACGCGAAGGGAAGGGACCGAAAGCGCGGACCATGGAGAGGGCGCCGTCTCGCGGCTCGCTCCGTGGCCCGCCATCTTGTTCGCAGGCCCGGTCGCCTGATTTCCTGCCTCTTTCGCCAGCACCGACGCACAAAATTAATCTTGTACATATAATGTAAATATGCATACATGTATATATATATCTATGCTATCTTGTACGGTGTACGGGGTGCTTGGTACACGTTTTTTCTCTAATCAATGGTGGATGGCAGGTGCCGGCCATCTCGCTAGCTTACGAGGCACCGGAGTCGGACATTATGAAACGGCAGCCCCGCGATCCTTACAGAGACAATCTTGTCAACCGAAGGTAGGTCTCCCAACTGCCCACCAGAGAAACCAATCTACCTAGCGAAAATCCATGCACTCACAAACCCAAGCTGCAGACGCCATACATCTTACACGCGACACACGTACACGCAACGTACAGACACGCGTGACATCGACACCTACACAGACATGAACGGTGCGTCGACTGGTTTACAGATCTTTGGCGAGGATTATTCTGGGTCACGTGGTTTGCTTTTACTCCGTTTATTTTTATTTTTTTTCCCACCCAGTTAGATATTAGATTCTAGAGATCTAGAGGTTCATAATTCTTTGCAGTCCTGCATTTCAAATTCGTGGCTCGTTTTCTTCCATTTAGTTTCAGTACCATGTGTACGTGTACGTAGGCTGTTTATGTTGTAATTTGATTTATGGCAACGACTGGGACTGCAAAGGCTTAACGATTTTAGAGTTCGAATTAGAGACTAACGAAGTCACTGGTGTTCCGATAGATTCCTCTGATTCGAGGGATTTAGTAGTCTTGAAACAGTTGCAATTTGCGTGATTTTTCTTCGAATGTTAAAGGATGAATTTAGATTTCGAGTCCGTTTTTCTCATCACCCTTCTTCGAACACCTCTGACGTCTTCTCGAACGACCAACGTGCTCAGACTGATCGCCAAAAGTGATTCGGGATTGATGGAAATTTTTGATTCTTGAGAGAACCAATTCGACGAACGTTTTCGAGAAAATTTGATCTACTCGACGCATCGTACCCGCGTATACGCGTGCGTGCATGCACGCGTACGCGCGCACACACGCGACACATGATTGTTACACGTCATTGACAGAGTGTCTACTGAAATGTCGGAGTCGTTCGTTTTGTTTCTGAACTACAGATCTCTCATTGTCTCGATGGTCACTCGCTTGATCTTTATTTTGTTCTGCACGCGAACAACGACGAAGTGTTCTTTTTATATCGTGTTTTGTCGCGTGCACTTGTCGTCTGCACTTCGTCCGGGGTAGAACGAGGATCCCGAGAAAACGAAAAGTAAGCAGAGAGATTCGGGATGCAACGGGAAACGCTTAGTAGACCTTAGTAGACCGGGGAATTTCGCGAGAACTCGGAAGTTTGGGACGCTCGGGGACCGCGCGCGAGTGGCACCGATTAGAGTGTCATCGCCGTGGATTCGCCTAATCGAATCGAATCGAGTCGAATTGGACGGTGATCGCTAAATCTGTGAGAGAAGTCGAGAGAAAGATATCGAGAGCAAAGCGACGGAAGAGAAACGCGCCAAGAGTCTCGGTTGACACTCTACGCCTCGTCAAAAGGCCAGAAACACGTCTCTAGGAAACCTAGTTGATTAGCGATAGCACAAGCAAGTAACCATAACCTAGGAGAGTTACAGTGTTGGGAATGCCGATGCCGAATGTTTTAGCCACGCAATTAGACCAAAGTTCTGCCAAACGGCTCGAACGAGGTTAACCTAACCGCCGATCGTCTTGCGCCTAATCAGAGGACCTGCGCGGTCCGTGCAGCTTCTTTTTGACAATGCCGACAGCTCGACCCTCGTAGTCGTTGCGCCACGTGCGTGTTGCCACACTAACGCTGAGAAACGTAGAGAGTGTACTAACGCCGAGAGAGAGAGCAGAGAGAAATGTTGCTAAAAATTCGAGAGAGCGAGGAAATGGGATAGAGTAGTAGAGGAGACTGCGAATCGGGAGTGTCACACGCTCTGTTCGAATGTTAGACGCCGACAGCTGGGCTGCTTTGATCCCCGTGATTTGGAAAGAAAATAACTAACTCATAGAAGTAACATCGACGATGATAACGATCAAATCTGAGCACGGCCTGTGCAGGATTCAGCGAAACTAACCGAGTCTATTAACGCTACGAGGCTGACGCCACGGATATAGCGAGAGATAGTGGGTCACTAACAGCTTGTAATTTGTCTCATAGTCTACGACGCCGCGCCTTTCTGCCCGCTCTATTCTCTATCCTGATACTGACAAACGAATCTTCGTCGATTCCGTTCATATTTATCTTAACGCCATGATTTCGTTCTCTTATTCGATTCTGCAAACGCTTGACCAAGCTAACTGACTGATGATAATGCGTGACACCACGGCCTGTTGCATGCGAATGCCATGATGGTTTGCCATGATGGACCTGGCTCACTGCGAATGCTTCCGAGGATCCTGAACATTCTCCACGGTCTCTTGTCACCCTTTATTATCGTTTGCCAATATCTAACCCTTGTCGGTCACCTGTCACCTGTCACGTGACAGCACGTTGCTTTACTTTGTCGCTACTGTCTTACGTCACGTGGGAGATGACAAGGCGGACTCTTGCCCTGAAGATCTTTCGCATATTTATCGAAAGCAGCTAAAACCTAGCGAGAATCGCGTGTAAAAAGCTAGCGTCCGATAGGGGTTGATATTTCCTCTAATTTCTCGAAGGAAATAACTTCGGATACGGATGAAACGCGGAGAAATAACATCCAAATCGAATAAATCCAGGAATCTTAGAATTTCCGCGATTAACTCCTTACACTACGCGCCCGACTCAGTTCGAGATAGCCACGATTCCATTCGAGGTATTCATACTTAGCCCGAGATTAAGACCACGAGTCAGACTCGTGATATTCATGTTCGACCCGAAAATGCCGATCACGTGTCGGACTCGTGATATTCATGTTCGACCCGAAAATGTCGATCACGTGTCGGACTCGTGATATTCATGTTCGACCCGAAAATGTCGATCACGTGTCGGACTCGTGATATTCATGTTCGACCCGAAATGACGATCACGAGTCATACTCGTGGTATCCACGTTTGGCATGAAACTATACAACGTGCCTCGCTCGTGATATTCAAGTTTGGCCTAATATTTTCGCGAAAATAGTGCAAGGGATTAAATATCGAATATTCGATATTTAACGAATATTATCGATTTATTCGTCAAATATTATCGATCGTCGTTATATATTTAGGGTACCCTTACCGATTTAAAGTATCCTTATCGATTTTCGAAAGCAGGTAAGCGAAGATTCGAAGTTCGAAGTTCGATGTACGACGAATGTTCAGAGAGATTCGGGAGACAGTCCAGGTGGTTAGGTCCACGATAAATTAGCACACACGGATACTAATTGAAGACTGATGCTGCTTCGATCGCTAACCACGCCAGATCTCACGGTTCGATCGAGCGGCCTGTGCATGTGCACCGGAATCTGCATGTAGCTAGCTCGGTGGCTGTGAAAAGTGAACCGTGAAGTGTGGCCACGATAAAATTGTGTGTCTGTGTCTTGAGCTTTGTGTGGCATGCCTCAATGTGAAGAACCGATCGTTACCGCCTGCGTTCCGAGTCGGTAAGTAATCCGCATTTTAATCCTAGGTGACTACGGCTTCGTATTAACACCACCTTAGGCTACTAGAAGCGAACTTAGATGATTAGTGGCATACACATACAGAGCTTCGTCTGACTTTCAAGGAGTTTCCGACCTGGCAGAAGAATCTTGAGAAATCTTCGAGGATCCGTGATCAACCTTGCTGATACCTAGAGTAGTCCCTCTGAGTAACTTTGACAGAATACTCGTTAGAAACTGCTTTCTTCGTTTAAATTTCTGAGGAACAGAGAAAGTAAGAAAGTAACTAATTATTAATTCAGAAAAATGACATTTTGTTAGAATTCTTCGAAGCGAAGAATTGTGAAATATAAGACCCCAGTGTATCATACTTCAACTTCTTGGCTCATTTCTTGGCTATGGTGTCTGTACGAGTTGGCTGTTATTTTCAGTAATATTTCGTTGTAATAGTGGGAGAGAATTCCTTGAAAGTCAGAGTTTCATCGCAGAACCCGTGATGCTGGAATGATGACAATTATCTAATGCGGATCTCTATGCACAGGCTTATTTCGATGGCGTATGGTCAGATCGGTATGATCCAGGCAGCCGCCGGTTTCTTCGTCTACTTCGTGATTATGGCTGAGAACGGATTCCTGCCCCTGCATCTTTTCGGCATCCGAAAACAGTGGGACTCCAAGGCTATCAATGATCTTCGTGACAGCTATGGCCAGGAATGGGTAAATTAATTGTCTTCCGAGATTACGTTGACAGAGAGAAATTACGTTCGTAGTCTCTTGGCTGGTTTAAATAATTTCCAGACGATTAAGCGTGATTAAGACTGAAGGATAGAATAGGCATGGTCGAGAGGAGATGGATTTCACTTACGCTTGTTTATCTTTCCACAGACATACAGGGATCGTAAGACACTGGAATTCACCTGCCACACAGCCTTCTTCGTCTCGATCGTTATCGTCCAGTGGGCTGACCTGATCGTTTGTAAGACGCGACGTAATTCCATCATCCACCAAGGAATGAGAAACTGGGCCCTGAACTTTGGTTTAGTGTTCGAGACCGCCCTCGCCGCGTTCCTAAGCTACACACCCGGCATGGACAAGGGTCTCCGCATGTTCCCTCTCAAGTAAGTTCCCTGCTCTGCCTTTGTTCTACGTCTTCAACCGTAGATTCTGGTCCACGAGACATACCAGAGAAGAATTTAAAGGCACGGCCCCTCTGCAGTATGAAAGGAATCCTGTACAAGCCTTAGACAAGTCTCAAAGAAGTCCCAAAGAAGTCCCAAAGGAGTCCTGTGGAAGAAAGAGCAATGTCTATTCAAGTCTGTTAAATGTGGCTTTAGAAATTAAGGATTATTTCATTCTCTCAGCTTTCTAAACTAGTCAGGTACCAAGATGACAATTCCTAATTCTTCAAGATACCTGGAATTAGATTGCCACATGTACAACTTCCTTCCAGATATTTCAATTCGTCCACTGCTTATACGAGAATGTGTCTTTAAGTTGCCATAAGCGATTCATAAGTAGAAAAGCTGGTTAAGAGTAATAGCTAATTATGAGAATGCAATGGAGTATAGAAAAGTAACGTTGTTTCTTTATTTTAGATTCGTCTGGTGGCTGCCCGCCCTTCCCTTCATGCTCGCCATCTTCATCTACGACGAAACGAGACGATTCTACCTCCGCCGGAATCCAGGAGGCTGGCTCGAGCAAGAAACTTACTATTAGACGCGAAGGAAAATTTAATCATACACGCAGAGCGCGCGCGCAAGAGTTACAAGAGCGAGAGATGCAGAGAGAATGATGAGAGAAAGAGAGAGTGAGACATGCATATTACCCACGCAGATATACACCGAGAAACTAACAAGTAAAACGAAACAAAAGAAAAAGCAAAAAAACAAAAAAAACGAAACAACCAAACAGTGGAAAAAAAAGCAGCGTTAAAAATCACTCACGTTAATACACACACATATTCTACCTATGGGGCGTGCTATTCGAGTCTAACCGTACTGTCGCGAGATGATGAGATTATTTAGAAGGGGTTAATTGGCATCAGCCGAGCCGAATCGTCGAACGACCATCGCCATAGCAATTACGTAGTAGAGTGTCTTGCAGTTGTTTCACGGAACAAAGAAAGAGATCGCTTCGCGTGGGAATAGTAAAGTGACTTTCAAACACTCTCGTTGCACGGTGTGTGAAGTACAAAAGAGAACAAAATACAAAATGACAAAAAAGATGAAAAAAAGCCCAAAAAGAAAAAGACAAAAAAAAATAATACGCTAAAATGAGAGATGGGGGTGAGAAAGAGGTGTATAGAAGATTCAAAACGTTCGTCGTTCTGGCTCTGCGAGTTGCTTGCACGCGCGTGCCGGTGTATCATTAAACAGAGATCGTCGTTCGAGAAACATCGAAGGGATCGACGAAGATAGAAGGGTTCAACGAGCAACGTCGTCGGGAAGACTTGGAGCTTCCGGGTACACACACGTCTGATACGATTCACGAGGGTTGTAGGGGTTGGTGCTGCCATCGGATTATCGACGGTATCGAACGAATAAAAGAAGAAGTACACAGTAGGGCCTAAGACACGAGCATAAGAAGGAAAAATGGCGTAGGACGGATGTCATCGTGGTGAAGAGAGACTGTGAGAAAAGTACAAGCCGGCAGAGGACACCCGTGTATCTTTCTGGAAACCGAGGGATACAGAAATTGGCGACAAATCGTCGGATTACGCGCACGTCCGTATGAGCGTCGATGGGTGTACGATACGAGTGAACTTTTTAGAAAAAAAAAACGAAAAAGAAAGACGGATAATTAGCATCGATGGAGCATTCCGTAGACGTCTTGTGATATCAGAGAAAAATATTCATATAGGCATCCCGTTAAGTAAAGGAGCAAAGATCACTGCGCTAGATTGGCACGCCCTTGTTAAGAGTTAAAAAAAAAAAAAAAATTAAAAAATGCAATGTAGTCACGGTATTAAGAAAAAAAAAATAATAATAAAAATAAATAAATAAGAGCGGTATTATAAATATTACACTGATGCAGAAGTTTAAGAATCGATGACGAGAATATCATTCGCAATCGACACACACGAAAGAAACGTATTTACAGATAGACGTCTCGTGACACATACAGTCTTAATAGAAACTTCTTAATTGTTAATTAAAGAGAGAAAAAAAAAAATTAAACGAGAAAATCAGTACGCTAGATTGGCACGCCCTAGAAGTTATTCATAACGCGACAAAGAGAGCGAGAGAGAGAGAGTGAGAGAGCGAGCGAGCGAGAACAAGCGAGAGAGAGAGAGAGAGAGAGAGAGAGAATAAGAGAGAGAGAATAAAAGAAAAATAAATAAAAAACTTGAAAGAACTAAAAGAAAAAAAAAGAAAAAACAGCAAAAAAAAAAACGTAAGAATACAGAAGTAATGAAAACGCGTTTACAGTACTCATTATTATTCTTATTACAAGTAATGTCGTTCGGTTCGAGTCTTTAAAATCCGAGTAGCTGTCAAGGCCAGAAGTCGCATCGTGTAGATATTCTAGTAGTTTGTCAGTCTCTGCACGAGAATCGCTACGCGAAAGAAGGACAGGCCAGGAGTGGATTGCAGTGAGGAAACTGAAATCGAAATAAAAGACAAGACACAAAGAAGCGAGATATTAGACGCGCGGGGGCGAGCACGGGGAACGAAGGCGGCATACAGACAGTATAATAGCAACTATCAACCGAATCACTACCAACGGAGTTATGTAAACGAAGAAACAGAGAAGAGGACAGAATCTGCAAGAATAGAGAAGATATACATTGTTTCAGTTGCGCGCGGGCAAATGATAGAACGATGGTCGCAGTTTTGGGAGCCGATAGAATAGATGACCTGTGGTACCGCGATCCACCGACAAAACTGGACAAATGAGTTATGAAAATGTTGTTGATTAAAAAAGAAAAAAAAAAAAACACGAGCTAAATAGAGGCGCGAGAATTTAAAATAGTCGCGCAGCTCTGGAGCCATGTGGCTTACCGAGCGAGGGCGCTACGATAGTTGAGGTAACAGGATATTAAAAATGCTAGTAGAGGTTGGTAACGATGTAGGAGAAGCACAGACAAATGGAAACGAGAAATAAAACAGACAAAGGAAAAACAGTAAAAAATCATTCTTACTTAGGCGAAACTAAAAGTAAAGGAAAAAAAGGTATAAATTCATTCTCTTAGTTTCTTCATAGGTTTAAAAGCGCCAGAAGGACAGCTCGCTATAAATCATATTGACCCCCGAACGCAGAACGCCCTGTACCACCAACCCGCGGTCTGTCGTGTGTATGTGTGTGTCAGTGTCGAAACAACGCCCCTTCGAATTTTTTAGGTGCAACAACAAACCGCCAACAACACGAAAAAAATGTAAAAAAAAAAGAGACGATGAACGAAGGTGACTTAAAATGCCTGCCACGCGACTTTTCGGGCCGGGACGATCCGAGACGTGCGATCGTGTCAGGTCTTGTTTCGAGCTTCTTCGATGTGAAAAACAAACACAAACATAAAATCCATTTTCGTTTCTCTTTGCCTGTATCAATTTAAATCCTTGTTGCTCGCTTTCGCGGCTTTTCGGTGTGTACGCGCGCGCATGCGCTGGCAACGTCGGTGAAGAGGGCGCTTTGTTTCGAGCGGAGAACCGAGATAGAGTAATGTAAAGCTCGTCGATGAATGAGTTTATCATCGTTCGGTTGCGACGTTTATCATGTTCTCCGGTTCTTTTGTTCCGTACGAATCAAGGCGAATGGACCGTCGAGGATATTCAGGTAGGACGAAAGGTGACGCTCGCTCGGCGGCCCTGGCCCCAAAACTACCCTAAGTGTTCAATAATCGAGGTGTTCTCGAGGTGCCGTACACGCATAACACGTTCTTCGCTCGCCAATCCCGTCGAATTTCGATTTATTCGCGAATTTAAAAATAAAGATTCCGAGGGTCACGATTTTTCTCCAGCCCTTCCGATGAATTTTTTCTCTTGTGCGCGCGAAGGGCTGGCCGAATTATTCGGCTCTGTTTATAAACACGAAAAAAAAATGTTCGACGTTGAATTTTGAATTTCGAATTTAATTAGAAAATTCGGTGGGACCGGCGATGCTTTACCGAATCGTTTCTGAGACACGCGGATCATCATTTGAATCCAATCGACGACTCTTTGAAAGGAGTAAGACAGGAGAGAGGAAGCGTGAGGGAGAAACTGCAAGAGGGCAGCAGTGTACCGTCGCGTTGCTCGTCGAACTCGGACTTGGATTAGACCCCGACAAAAAGAAACAAAATGATAACATCAAAACAACGTCCCCAGTTTTCTTCTTCTTCAAACGGAGGAAGAACATGCTCGAAAATCGTCGAAAAAATATCAGTCATCACAGTGCTAGGTGTTGAGAAACAGAGCTGTTCAATGTTACGCCAGTTAATTCCGTTTTTATGGTGTTTCTTGGTTTCGCGTTGCGAGACAGTGTATACCGATAGCCTCCGTGTGTGTGTCGTTAGATCGATCATTCCTGTCACAACGAAATCAAACCAAAAGAAAAAATGAATAAAGATGGAAATAGATTGCCTTCGGCGGATCCCCGTGTTTCGAGGTAAGACGCGAACAAAGGAAGAAAATAGAATCTGAGGATGAAAAGATACGCTGATGGAGAAGTGATAGCGAGGTATAAATACGGTGGGACGGGAAGGGGGAGATGATGCATCGGTGGCCCATTCGTTTCTGTAAAATCGCTCCCGATGTGGATGCCGGAGCTGGATCGGAGGATCCGTGGTTTGTCGACAGGGTGTTCCGTGCCCGGGGGGCGTAGGAGCCCAAAAAAATGCTTTGCCGTCGTGCGCCACTTTACTTTAGGCTAATAATTTAAACATTAATAATATAATAATAATAATTATAATATGATACATGTTACAATAAGATATTATTAGATGTAATTATTATATATGGTTTAGTCTAGATCGTGTTGTTGAAGAAAAAAACTAAGTACGTATAAGCGAACAAAAAAAAGAGAACAAAGATGAAGATATGAAAAGTATAACGACGACGACGAGAGTAAGGGAGAAAGAGAGCGCGCGAGAGCGAGAGAGAGAGAGGAGTAAAAAGTCAAGGATAAGTGGCGATGAGAGGAAAAATTCGGTCTAAGACCACAATATCTTGCGGCGGACTGAGCGGGACACAAACGAGAGAATCCGCTTTTGCTTCGTTCTGTGCGCGTGATACATCGGTCTTCTTTTCAAATCACGTCATATTTAGAAATACATCTTTAGTGATCCTTTTCGTGCGAGATCGCGTTTTTCTTTTCTTGTCTGTTTTTTTCGCTACGTTTCTGGTTACGCGGATAGATTTACGGCCATGTTGTATTTCCTTGTTTCGGCAGCGCCACCGTTTTGCTTTCTCTTCTATTGTAATCGCGGATTCGTAGGACAATCCTCGACACGCGAGTCGCAAATCTTTTCGTGTTCTGCAAACGGGTAACCTCGATCAACGTCAGAAACTGGTTTTTCGAGTGAATCGGCGTAAAAGAGCGGGAGAAAAAGAAACGCATGAATGTGGGCGAGAGAACGTGTGTTTTAATATAACGGATTCTTCGCTTTTCTGTTGCCGCAATCAATGAACATAATTGGCAGTGAAATATTCGAATCGAAACCAAAAATCCGGATGAAAAGAAATAAATCGGGAAGAGATAAAAACGCATAAAATAATAGAGAATAGTGTCACGAGAATTCTGTGAAATGTCGCCCCTGCACAGCCCGCCACATCACGACAGAATCATTGAATGATTAAAATATAAACAAAAAAAAATGAATGATGTTTTATTAACATTGTACATATTTTAAATAATTGCAGACGGACAAACGTATCGCGCATGAACGGTGACCCACGAGAAGGCAGTCAGCTTGAAATGGCCGCCTTTTCTGTAAGGGTCTCGTACTCTTTTTCTGTTTTTCGTTTTAGCGCCGCATATATGAAACACACTCCACACACATACACACCACACACGCCGAGAGACACGTGCGAACATAGAGAGAGATATACACACGTACACGCTCAGAGATAAATGAAAAAATGTACACCGCTCTACCAAACTATCTCTTCTGATTGACGATTCCTTTCATATTGATTATTCTGTAAGTTCTGTTTTCACACGTGAATTACATTAAGGAAGAAACGAGAGACATTGTCCAACCCAAGTGTCATTACTTTTGATGTTAAATAAAAAATACATAATTAATAAAGTACTTTTTGTTCTACCTTCCTGACTCGTATTTTCAGCATGCAAACGTAAAAGCATTTGTTATGGATTTAAACCATCGGGTGAATAAAAAGGAGATTAGTTTAACTGTCACAAAATTTATTACGCTTATGTACATCTGTAATCATTTCAACTATCTTTAATTTGTATAAATTTTTATTTCTTTATTCGTGTTCTACAGATGCTAATTTTTGTCTGTCCTTCTGTAAATTTTTCTTACGCAATCGTTTAATATGTTTCTTTAGTTTACCTGTACTCTTTAGTTCCTCATATTGTGAAATTAAGTCTAAAACTCGTTTCTCAGCTGTAAGAGAAAACAATAATGTTTAAACTTTAATCCTTATAGAATTACATTTGTAGCGTGTTATTTGTTTTATTTACTTACACTTCTTTTTGAATGTAGGTTTTTTACCACGCTTAATAGCCTCAACAATCTCCTTCTTTTCTTCATATTTCTTTTCTTCTTTCTGATTTTGTCTCTTTTCTTCGTTTAATTGATTTTCTAATCGTTTCACAAGGTATTTAATTTTCTTTATCTGTTTTGGATCATTACATCCTTTCAATTTCTTTTTCAACTTTTCCAGATCATTCTTCTTCACATCAGAAAGGAAACTATAAGCTTTATTAAATCTTTTCTTATCAAACGTACCACACAAGCTGTCAAATCTTGGATCCCTCGGAATATTTTTCTTCACTTGTATCACTTCTCTGAATCGAGAAATGGGTTTCTTTGCAGATAGTTCTCGTGGCCTATTTTTATTTTCCCGCTTAAAGTCAACTTGTTTAACCTTTCGTGGTCCAAACAATGTTTCTTTGTATACTTTAACACCCAATTTTTCTTTAAGCTTCTGCAAATCTTCAAAACTTATTTGTGAGAGTTCTGCCCTAATTTGATCCTAAATGATAGGAAATTATTCAAATTTGTATGAATTTGAAAGACATTTTGTATCTACTTAAATATAAATATAACCTATTTAATTTATGACAACCAAGTACTTAACAGTTGTTTATTACAAAATTATAAATAAAATATTATGCATAAAAATGCACCTGCTCTTTGTCTTCATTACCAAGTGCATCTTCTTCGTCACTCATGTTAAACCAAAAAATATATCAAAAGATTTAACAGTCTTCGTATTTAATTCACGAAATATCCATGGGATCGCCATATTTTATTTGATGATAGTGTTTCGCACGACAGTGGTAGGTGACGCTAGGTTGTCATTCCAATCTGTGTTGACCTCTATTCTAACATTATCAGTTACAAAGAAATTGTTTAAAAAAGGTAAAACTATTTTCTTTCTTCCTTATAAAATATAGAGTATAGTTTAATAACATAAAACAGTATGAATCATTAAAATATATTAACTTAATATTTTTTTAGTAATCTTTTGGAGCTATGTATACCTTGCAGTTTGGTAATAAAAATATAGGTTGCATTATAACTTCTATATTATATTAAAAGTAGAAATATATAAAAATGTAATGAGAAGAAAGTTTTCACATAAAAGAAATCATATTCTGAATTCTAAATAATGTACGTAATCTCTAGTGTACTTTGGTAACTTTTTGCGGATTTCCTCGTGATTGCGTAACATTATGAAATCCCTAATTTTACGTAACGCGTTATATCAATGTCGAAACTTATTTCTATACGTATATCACAATAGGACCCTCTTGAGCTGCGTAAAAGGATAATCGTGCTGCGTAAAATCTGTAAACCTGGATGGTGGCTCCCTCTGTTTACTTGTTACAAATCAAACATTCAAGGTTATCTGCCGCTTAAATCTAATAAACATCATTACCTCTTAATTGTATTGATGTTTTGTTACAAACGCAGAAAGCTACATTCTTATTCGCTATCACGATCCTATTACCGAAATAAATAGATATTCCAAGTCAAAATATTTACTTTGTATAGGATGTGTATTTATTATTGTTACCATAAAACATAAACTATTTTGAATATACGCAATAACAGAATATTGGTTTCTTTATTTCGATATAATAATTTGCAAAAGCAACGTTTAGTATGCTTAAAGAGAGAAATTAATAATCTTAAAAATAAAATATTAACATGTTTTGCATTGTGTATAATTTCTATATTTCATACAGTTTTAATAATGAAACCTCACGTTTCAGAATTACAGACATTTAAAACTACGTTCTCGGATGTAAATTCAACGTTTGCTACGAGGGAGCAGCACCATCAGAAGTGTCTAAAATGGCGGGTGTGCTGTTCGAGGATATTTTCAACGTAAAAGACATTGATCCAGAGGGGAAGAAGTTTGACAGGGGTAAGTCTGAAACACATTTTACACTTTCACCTATTTACGGTCAGTGTTAGGAAGAAATACGTTGCTCCGTTACCGAATTTTTAAGTGTTAGAAAGAGAACGTACCGTCGATGTTCGTTCTTTACGGAAGTTGCCGGGAAGCACATGGCGTGACAGTTTGATTTAAATACCAATTCTTATATACAGATTTGTAAAATACCTAATTCGACTAGTTGGCACAAGTATAGAATCTACGACTCGATATTTATTAATTGATACGTGTGTTGTTTAATTGTTTATAATATTCTAAATTATGCTAGTGATTCGTCGATATTCTTGTCTTCTGCAATGGCGCGTTATTTGAAACGTAAATAAGACAAATTAATTTTTATAAGACTATACTAATAAATTGCGTTACATTTATTATTAGTATATATATATTGATTAATTTATTCAGAAAGTAATAGTTTATATCTCGATATTTAGTATTAATTTTAAAAGTTTAAAAAATATATCGTTCTTGTTTATTTAGTACGTTTAAAATTTTTAAAGTTTGTATATTTCAATGCGATAATTCAGTGATTTTAGTACCGCAATATCTCGTGGAACTGCAATAGGCAGATTGTGTTTCTCTTTTGCCAAAAAGAATACGTAAGGGTCGAGCACGTTTGACATTAATTTGAAAGGCAGTGCTTTATGACAATGCAGCCTCATTCTTCTTATCACCTTGAACTCTGATTCGAGATTCGTCACTGATACTCCTTTCGTTTTGTGTGTGTCCATTGTTGAATTCATTTGACGTGTAAAAATTAACTCGATGACACGAAACGTTTCATTAAAACCGTTAGTAATCGAAGGACTCTATTGCGTGTTGCTTGTTATTCCACTTATCGCTGCCTCTTATCGACCTTCTGCTGTACATTTCACGAAAAAGTTAGTATACATTTCCGCACTCATTTCAAACATGTTAATTTCGAAAATTTTAAACTTCAAAAAATTATTATAGAATTATCACGTTTCAAAATATAGTTTCGATTCGTTCCTAATTCTTTACCTCATAACGAATCAATTTAATGCTGTATATGCATTCCAAATTTTCGTAAAAGTGAATATATCATTGCGGGAAGTTTGTGCATTGAAGGTCATTTAAAAATTGATAGACGAGCCAGAATCATGCGTCATTGACGCCATATGTTAAAGCGTGCGTGCCAAATGTAAGTTTAAAAAGGGAATTTTTTCTCATTATTTGACAAAAGAGCTGATAAACTTGTAAAATATAAGAAATTGAACGTGTTAGGTTAGGTTTAGTGCACCATACTCTCGTGGTACTTAAAAAATTCGATTGTTAATTAATATCGCGCAAATCAAAATGAAACCATGTTCGTAATTAAATTATTTGACACGACCTTGAAAAACAAAAAGAAAGTTGCCTTTTCTCGGCCCACCCTGTATGAAATTACCCTTTACATCCACGAGGCACCGGCAAACTTTTATCGTTATATCTGGAGGAAAAATTTTACACTCGAATAAAGACGTCGGTCTCCATCGAGACGACGGAATCGATGTTTCCCAGACGGCGATATAATTCGCAGAAAAAACGTGCCTTGTATCGCGCGTCACCCTATATTTTCACCTACATTATCGCCGGGAAAGGGTTCCTCTGGAACAGCGGCGTTCCACGCGGATGGGTGTTAGTGGGGCTAGCTAGGTGCGCGAGCGAGAGAAAAGATGGGATCTCGGTTAGCGGGGAAGAGAAAGGAGCAAGGGGAGGGATAAAGAGTGGCGGGACTTTGGGAGCGGCTTCGAAGCAGCTCAAATGATGAAGGAGTAGGAGGAGGCTGGCTCCTTCGCGGTAAAAGCACGTTTTCCCCCTTTCTTCTCTCGGCTGCATACGTATTCAGTTGCTCCGGAAAGCATTCCTCGCGAAAAATGCGACTAATCGGTGCGCTCCACGTGGCTGTAAATTCAGGCTGTCCGTCGGAAACTTTTGCCGCGATGGAGCCACTTCGTTCTCGTTGGCACGGAGTTCAGGCCGCGATAATTCACCCCAGCCAACAGAATCGGGATATCTTAGCCGGTATATCTTCATTCAAGGTATTCAATATCGATGCACGTACGAAACAGAAAGCGTCGGGACAGGGGAGGCTTGAAAAACGGCCGGCGTAAATACCGTTCCTTCGTTCCGTACGGTGCGCCGCGCGTCCGCGCATCCTCGATATGCGTCCCGAGCCTTTTCAAAAAACATACGGCACCGCTGCTGACTGGAGGCGATAGATCACGCGATGCAATTCGGTTAGTATCCGAATTCTTTATCGACTGTCAGCGATGCTTCGCGTCTCTCTGTACCCGACAGGTGCCATTCTCCACGAACACCCTGTATAAATACGATGTACCGTGTCCATTCTTCCCAGCGAGTATTCGCGGCCATCATTTACGCGACAATTCCTCTCGACTTTCACCACAAACGTGGATAGACGTTTATATAGGTATATAGAATGAAAAGGGCGGTGGGACGCGATCCGCCGGCAGCGAGCTGCTTGGCGGCAGTTCAAGGGGTGGAACGGGAGGGTCATGACGGGTTTGCCAGGGGGTCGAGGGGTGATAGACGAGGGAGCTGGCAGTCTGTGCTGCGGCCGGTCGATGCAGCAACGATGCCCGCAGCCGCAGCAGCAGCAGCAGCAGCAGCCAGCACGAGCACCAGCACCAGCAGCAGCAGCAGCACCAGCACCAGCACCGAGCAACATCGCATTCGCGTAATACGACGCAACTCTGGGTGCCGTCGGGCGGCTAGAGTGGTAGGGGGAGCAGCCGGGACGCGTTAGACCAGCTTGGTGGGGGTTGACACGGTCAAGGTCAGTCTCCGTTCCAAGGTCACGGGGAGATGTCATCTCAGGAGGGAGCCGCGTGGTGTTCTTTCTCTCTCTCACTCTTTCTCTTTCTCGCTTACTCGCATCGCGTCTTCTCCTTCGTCCTTTCTCTTTCTAACACGTTTATCCGATAGTACGGTTTCCGTTGCGCCACTCGCTAACGTTTCTCTCTGACAATTGCGGTCCGATGGAAACTCCTTTTTCCATATTTCTCGTATTTTTTACTATTTCTGCATACGTCTCTGATTCATTTTTTGCTCGATGGTTTGCTGCTCACGAGCGAGGTGGATCGAAGCATATGCGAGGGTGGATTCTGTGCTTACCATACTGACTTTTTTTTTTTATTGTCTCTGGCGTTTTTTATCGGTTCGAAGTACCGTGTAAGAAAGCGACTACGATTATGCTTTGGGGTTTCAAGTTTAAGTTACTGTTTTCATTTTCACTTTAATACCGTTATTGAATATCGCGTACAACATATATTCATTATTATTATCACGGGGAAATTAATCGAATAATTTTTTACTTTGATTAATCCGACTTTCAATTTTTCTCGGCGAATGTAGGGTGTAGCATAGTTTTTAAACGAAACGGTAGAACGTTTCGCCGTCGAAATCGATTTTATTCGACAGCCGTGGCGTCAGCCGCGGAGTTGGAGGTCGCGTTAAGTCCCATTCCCACGATTCGAGCCCCGTTAATTAAATAACGCTGATCAATCCGTGTCTGAACGACCGGTCAATCAGTGTTTTATTTGCGAAGCATGTAAATCCATTTCCAGTTTGTTTGGCCGACGTTCCAATTTCGCCCCGGGTTTCTGTCAAACGTCAAAAATCCGTACGTTATGCTTCGTTTATATCGTTCCAACGCTGTTACAGTAGTAGCGTAACGTGCCACTCTCCTAACGACAGTCCAGCTTCATCGATTCCAACGTGATCACGATCATCTACTTACGATACAAAGATCTCGAAACTGCCAAAAAATCCAAAATTTTGAAAACTCGGCTATTTTATAAAAATCAAT